TTAAAGAACTATCTTCATAACCAATTCAAAATCAAGGATTTGGGAAAGCTGCACTACTTCTTGGGTTTGGAGATACTATATACTGAGGCTGGAATGCTTATTTCTCAGAGAAAATTTGTGCTTGATCTTCTCAAAGAGTATAATTGCACAGAATACTCTAGTCTAGCTTCTCCTCTTGATTGTACAATCAAGCTCAAAGCCAGTGAAGGGAAACTTCTGGAAAATCCTCAGTCATATAGAAAGTTGATTGGAAAGTTAAATTTTCTCACCAATACAAGATTAGATATTGCATATGGAGTACAACATCTAAGTCAGTTTATGCAGGAACCTAGAGAGCCTCATTTGCAGGCTGCATATCATCTACTTAGATATCTAAAGAAAGATCCAACTTTGGGTTTGCTCATGTATTCTACTAATGACTACAAGGTACAAGCCTTTTGTGACTCAGACTGGGCATCATGTCCTGATTGAAGAAGATCAGTTACTGGTTACATTGTATTGTTGGGAACAAGTCCTGTCAGCTGGAAATCAAAGAAACAAGAGACTATATCTCTTTCTTCAGCTGAGGCTGAATACAGATCCATTAGAAAAGTAGTAGGGGAATTGGTATGGTTAAGCAGGTTGTTTGAGGAGCTAACTGTGCCATGTACTAATCCATTTCCTGTTTTCTGTGATAGCCAGTCAGCTTTACAAATTGCCAAGAATCCTGTGTTCCATGAGAGAACGAAGCATATTGAAGTCGATTGTCATTTTGTGCGAGATAAACTTCAAGAAGGATTGATTTCACTACATCATATTGGAACTGGTGAACAGCTTGCTGATATCCTAACCAAAGCACTCACTGGAGTGAAGCATTCAGCAATTCTCAGCAAGTTGGATTTGCTTGCTGCACCTCCAACTTGAGGGGGGGGGTATTGATTTATGTATATGTAAACAACCTACACTTCAATTAGTTAAGTTACACTTCAATTAGTTAGTTACATAACAACTAGTTAGTTACACTTCAATTAGTTAGTTACATAACAACTTACATTTCCATTAGTTAGTTGTAGATAGTTAGTTAATTGAGATAGTAATGTGTATATATATAGATATGCAAATTCATCTGAAAACTCACTTTACATTCATGGTTTTACACCATTCTCTATTAATATACATGTAAGAAGAAGTGTGATCCTCTTCTTCTTCACATCTTCTTCTTCTTCTGGTTCTTAATCTGCTTCTTCTTCAAGCTCCATCAATGGAGATATAGCCATACAATTCATGGTTCTTTTATTCAACACATTTGATATTCTATTATTGTACAAATTTATATTAAGTTTAGTATAACTCATCACCTTTGTGGAATGGTTGTTATCTATCATTAGTTTAAAAACATTATATTTATTTTAATTATAGCTTAAATTTTATTATATTATATTATGTAAATTTATTACTTGGTAATGACGAAAAAGTTACATTGGTTGGGTGTGTTTGCATGCACCGTTACTTTTCATATTATTTTATTATTTTATTTTTATTATTTATGTTTTACCTCGTATCTATTTATTTATAATTTTATTAATTATTAATACATAATATTATGTATAATGAAAAATAATTCAATCTATCTAAATACTGTATTCATTATCGAGATGAGATTAGAAATTGAATCTTTCAACGTGAGTATAAGGAATATCGGCAACATTAGTTGTTATTTTTGTTGTCTATGCCTTGCTAAACAACATCCACAATAGGAAAAGAAAATAAATATAACTATTAATCAAAAGAAATATTATATTTATTAAATTAATAACACGTTAAAATACACTAGCTAACAATCATCCAAACAAGCTGCTAAGTTTTGGTGTATATCCTTTCACTTTGAATTGTCATATTGATGTGAACTCACTACGTTAACAGCTCTTTACTCTAATATTTTCCTAGCAAATTTAAGTACTTTTTCTTTGGAAAATATATAATAAAGATGGGGAAATTATAGTATCACAATAATAATAATACAAGAATTAAGATAAATATTAGTATAATATTATTCTTAATATTAGTACAATATTATTCTTAAGTAATATACATATACATATATACAATATATTATTACATATGCACATTAGTCATCAACTTAATAAAATAAGTGTTTATGTCATAAACTAAAATGTCTCAAATTAATTTAAAATATCCAACACATTTTTTGGTAAAGAAAAATATTTAAAGACCTACACGCAATACTTAGATGAAGTCCAACATATAAAAATGTAAAATATATAACGTCCCTTAATTTATTTATGAATAAATTTTAAGTTTAGCAGACATAAAAATTAGATTACCGCTTCTATAGCTACAATTTTATTATTTGTATTTCATAACAAACATAGTTTGCTATGAAATATTAGATTTGTAAAAACTGCAGGTAACATCTGATTGTATAAAATCGTAGGCATTTGATTTGTATAAATCAAAGATATGTGTCTATGAAAATTGTGTTTGTATATGTATTTTTCTTTTTGTTTATATATCTGCATAAAATTTGAATTCGTATACAATTAAATCGAGTTAAAACAATTATATTTGTATATCAAATCTCTCTCGCTTTATATAAACACAAATTTTTACATTGTATTTTATATAATTTGTGTTTGTATATAAAGAGAGAAAAACAAAAAAGAATTGGATAGAGGAAGATTTGTATTGTATGATTATAAGTGTATATGACAAAGCAATATGTATTTGTATGTACAATTCTCTCTCGCTTTATACAAGCATAAACACAATTTATTCATTTGTGTTTATACGAAAGTGAGAGAGGAGAGCGAAATTTAGGGAGAGAAGCAAATGACAAAGTATTTGATACAAATCAAAATTAAATAAAACTGTGATTATAAGATTTATTTTAAATTAACAATTTGTTATTTTATGTCATTTTCCCATTTATTTATAATAGAAAAGAAAATGTAATTTAGTGGGTGCACATAGTATTATTTTATTTTTAGGAGCGATTAATGTAGTACAAATACTTTATCTTGTCAAAAGTGATGTACGGTACTCAATATCAAAAATACAAAATCATCAAATCACCCGTATGAGTATGTCTAACTTCTCACATTGTCAAATCATCTGAGACTCACTTTTCTGGTCCTGTTCTTCATAGATGTCACTCTTTTGTTGTCTTAGATATCATCAACGTAATCCTAATGTTATTTTTCCGATACGAGTATAATCATATATCCATCTCAACATCCTTACTTCCACAACTTACATCTTTTGAAGATGAAAGTATGTGATTGGCAAGCATTCCGCCACATATGAGAAAATCGATCTAACCATCACTTTATAGGACGTACCTTTATATTTGTTTGGATGATAGTTTCATAATGTATCGTATAATACTGTACTGTAGTGTTATCATGAATACATAGTTTGAATAGATTATATTAATATCGTTTTCCATCATGTAGGAAAAAGGAAAAAGATTTAAAATATTGTAACGGTACAATCACACCAAATCGATTGTTACATAAAATGTGATTTTTCATCATTACACAACAATAAGTTTTAACAATACAATATAATAAAATTTAACTATCGGTCAAACAAAACATAATATTTAAACCAAACAACACAATAAGCAAACAATCATCCAAACAAGCTGTAAAATTTTGATGGATATTCTTCCACTTTGAATTTTGTATTGTTAACTTATTGAATAATTTTTATATTTTTAAATCATTGAATAAATTTTATAAAAAAAGAGATAACCAAAGCAGAGAAAAAAAATGTTTGATTATATGGAGTCTATTTGACTTATTTTAAGGATTCTAGCTTATAACTATTTTAATTTCTTAATTCCCCGAATTAAAGTACTTAAAATTATATCGACTTCAAATTTAAAAACACTTAAGATAAGTCAATTCTAATCGAGACATGGTTCTCACCCGCTATTTTTTTCTAAGAGGAAAGTGAATTAGATCGTCCAAAATTTTCACCTAAAGTTCGCTCGAGTTACATAAATTAAATTGATAGAATTAGCAAGTGATGTTGCTTGTTGCTTGCATAGTAAAAATAAAAAAAATACGCGATCTTACATAGGAGTGTGGGGATGCAAGGACGGACGTGGAGGTGAGGTGTGTTGTAGGGTAACGAGGGAGGAGACAATTAATGTGGAATGTCACTTATGAAACTTGTTTTCCTTAGTATTATATATTTTCTCACATTACAAAATAATGCATTGATTATTTTTCTATGGTTCCAGCCATTATATAATTGAGATCTCTAGACACTTTCCATTAGAGTTCTTTTAGAAGCTAAAAAAGTTTTAAGTAGTTGGCATGGCTTTTATATGGGCAACACTAGTTGTTATTTTTGTTGTGTATGCCTTGCTAATCAACATCCAAAATAGGAAAAGACATCCTCCAGGTCCAAAAGGCCTTCTCATTATAGGACATCTTCACTTGTTAGGAAAAAATCCACAGCAAGATTTACAAAAACTAGCAAAAACACATGGTCCACTTATGTATGTTAGACTGGGACTAGCACCTACAATCGTTGTCTCGTCTGCAGAAACAGCGGAGAAGGTCCTCAAGACATATGATCATCTTTGCTAGTAGGCCTCATAACGAGGCAGCTCAGTATTTGGCATATGGACAGAAGAATCTGATAGCCGCAAAGTATGGACCATACTGGCGCAACATGCGCAAACTGTGCACTCAGCACCTTTTGAGTAACCAAAAGATCAATTCATTTCAATCCATGAGAAGGGAACAAGTTGAGCTTATGATCAAATCACTTAAAAATGATGATCGCGTTGTTGTTGATCTTAGTGCAAAGATTTCATCTTTGAGTGCTGACTTGACTTGCTTGATGGTATTTGGAAAGAAGTACATGGATGAAGATTTGGATAAGAGGGGATTCAAAGCTGTTGTTAAAAATGTGGAGCATTTAGCAGCAACACCAAATCTTGGTGATTTTTTCCCCTTCCTTGGTGTAATTGATCTTCAGGGACTCACTCGCAAGCTCAAAGATCTTTCAAAGGTGTTGGATGAGTTTCTTGAGAAGATTATCGATGAACATGTCCAGTTTCGTGACCAGAAGCAATCCAAAGACTTTGTTGACACCATGTTGGACATTATGCAATCAGGAGAAACAG